CGAGCACGAGCTTCAGCCGCCCAGAACGGGCCACTGACGATCAGGAGGCGCCCTGCTGACGCCCCGAGCGCGCCCCTGGACGCGTGCGGAATGCGCTTGATGTTCGGCAGGTACACCGGCATGTGAAGGCAGGGTACGTCGAAGCCGCCGCATCCCTTCTCCGTTAATTGCGGATGCGACGCTATATTCTCAGAGGCTTCCTGTGTGACGTCAGGTAGAATAACTGTGTAGGACTCTTGTCACTTGGTAACATATGGTAAGGTTCACTGGTTTAATAAAGGGCAGAGCGGAGTGTGGTATTACTGTTGCTGCTCGTCGCTCAGTGATATCTCACTAATTCTGAGGGCGATGTCTAAAAATGCCTGGCGCAGCTTGTGGTTTCTGCCGCAAAGAAGCGATGGGCAACGTGCGAGATACAGAGGACCAGCACCGATCCAGTACTAGCCCCTCTCTTGGGCGGCGACTGTGGTGTGACTGGGGCGACGACCGAAACCCAGGCGTCGAGAGAGACTGTAACAGTCCAAGGCACCGCAGTCATTAAACCTGTGCCCGTAGGCGTCCCGAGTCTATACAGGGAAAACCGCGTCAGCAACACCCAGTTTGTGTGCTGCTCGTAAACTCGTACTTCCAAAGGTTATGGGGACCGACACACACTTGAACACAAGCGCTTATTAAACAAAATAGTCACGCGAGCCTGGGAACATTGCGGTGGTTTTACAACCTCGCGATCGTCAATGCGCCGCTTTTTGGCGGTGAAATCCTAGTCATGCACCGTGCACTTCGGTCACCAACATCCCCTCAACACCATCCGATCCCCGCAGCACGCAGCTCCCCAGCTAGCGCCGGGCGAGCGCTCACCCCAGAGCCCGCCATCGAGCACGTCATCAGTGCACGCGACGCCGAGGCGGGGCCGGCCGCGGCCCACCCGTCCGTCCGACAGACCGGCCGATAATCCATGACCTCAATTTTCGGACCCTTATTAGCCCAGATGCAACAAAGATTACACTGACAGGCTGCAACCGACAAGGCATGTGCGCACGTACACAGCGGGGGCGAGGGTAGAGGTTACCAGGCAGCGGGCATGCATACAGCATGGCATCCAGTGAAGTTCGCTGACCGGTCTGACCTACACATGGCATGTGTGGTGGCCGCCGGCAGTAACGCGGCCAACGCCCGCCCAGACAGCGGCGCTCTCTACGTGCTCGTGCATCGATAACTGTTCAATAAGCGAGGCGTGCGGGCAGGGGAAGTCTATGGCGCCACCATCCTGGGCCATTCGCTTGTTGAATGCAGGGGGTTTAAGATCCGTCTGCGTAACATTTTACGAAGGTCAGACGGTGGGCAGTTCTGCAGGTTTCAGTGCCAGTCTTGGAAATGTCAATTTTGCTAGCATTGCGCTTATTGCACTCAAGCATGTGCGCAACAGGCTTTGTTCGCTCACTTAAATGTAGCACGCCTGATGCTCCAGCAAACATGGAGAACTGTTCATTTCTCCTGTTTGTTTGTTTTTTTCTCTCCAGCTCTGGATCCCCTCACATCTACCATTTTCATGCAGCGCCGTTCACGGTGCAGTGAGACCTGTCTGGAGCCTACTGCAGGCTCTGGGTCGCCAGATGACTGCACCCCACACGACGGCGCCTGCCGGATGCGGCACTGCCCCGCGGCCGAGGGCTTGTTGGATGTGGCACTGCCCGGCGACGCCGCTCGATGGGCGGCGGCGCCTGACTCTCCCCAACCTGCGGACACCGGCCCGCCGGCCCGCCGCTGCCGCCAGCCTGCAGCAGCAGGAACGCGCGGTGTCCGCCTGCCCGCGGCCTGCCCCAGCCGCACGCCGGCTCGCTCGCGGCCTGCCTCAACCGGCGCCGGCTCGCTCACTTGCTCCAGCCGGCGCCGGTTCGCTCGCGGCCAGACCCAACCGGCGCCGGCTCCCTCACTTGCTCCAGCCGGCGCCGGTTCACTCGCGGCCTGCCCCACCCGACGCCGGCTCGCTCGCGGCTAGACCCAGCCAGCGCCGGCTCCCTTACTTGCTCCAGCCAGCGCCGGCTCGCTCGCGGCCAGACCCAGCCAGCGCCGACTCGCTCGCGGCGGTGTGGACGACATGCACCGCTTCCCGATCGATAGGCCTGGCACATGAGTTCCGGCGAGGCACCAGCCGCCTTAGGTACAGCCTTGCGAGCAAACAAACATCCTTCACAGAAATCTATAAATTTTCAAGTACCGCGTCGCATTACCACTGGCAAGTCACCACAGTCATTGTCGAAAGGCACGGACAGGGCGGTGGGGAAACTGGCACATAGGCACGGGGGCATCGGTGCACCCCGATCCATAAGGACGACCACGGCCTCGCCGCAAACAATGTCAATTGAACACGAAATTACCACCCTTTTAAGGCACAAACAATGGTCACATCCGACTTTTCCTTCACAGCCTAGCCAAACCGCCCCAAACACTGCGTCGTATACACTAATGGCGTTTGGCAAGCATCAGTCGGCACCTTAGCGTGTGAAACAATAGACAATGCAATGCGTACATGCAATGACAGCTCACTGCAGACAATGACCGGCCATCAACGGGAACGTGACTAACGGCCGCGTGACCACGTGCCTGATCAGATACGCATTTATCAAACGATAAGGCAGTTGGTTTGCAACCCCGATCCGGCGATAATGACAACAATTAAATCACACCGGCTAACAGCAGGCAAGCACGAACGACGTACAAAGGCAACTGACAATTACTAACCAACAGGGGGCTGTCGGCGCAACAAAAACGGCTCGCCAGCAACTAAGCATGGTCAGGTTCTTTCCTTCGGGGAAGATTTCTCGCAAAACATACGGCCCATTCGAAATACTGAACGTCTTGTGGTCTGAATCAGCCAAATATCTTGGGAAACAATACGTACACATTTGACTTTTATCTAAAAAATCGTAATCATGTGACACGGTCCCAAAAACACGAGATCGGAGAGATCACAAAAGTATGACAAAACTAGCTCATTTGTTGGTCGGCAGTAATCGCCGACCGTCCTGACAGAGATCTTCGTGACGACTTCAAACCCAGCCCGACTGATCCACCGTCATCCGAGTGTGCCGAGCCGCTCCACATGCATACATTTCGTATAGTCCAACATTGGTTACCTTGGTCAGCCCAGTTGTTCACGCTCCGTTTATGCACATATGGAAGTCGTTTTACGTCCCGTTCTTAGCGCTCGGGGAAAGTTGGTTATAATTGGCACGACAGTAGAGAAGCCGTGATGATGAGCCGTCCCAAGGTAGTGTATGCCGTCCCAAGGTAGTGCACGCCGTCCCAAGGTCGTGTATGCCGTCACAAAGCCGTGTATGCCGTCCTAAGGCTATGCATGCCGTCCTAAGGACATGTATCCCGTCACACGTTCGTCTATGCCGTCACAAGCTCGGCTATGCCGTCACAAGTTCGTCTATGTCGTCACAAGTTCGTTTGTACCGTCACATGTTCGTCTATGCCGTCACAAGCTCATATATGCCGTCACACGACGTTCGTCTATGCCGTCACACGTTCGTCTATGCCGTCCACCTACGATCACTCCATATCGTATGAAACCGTTGCTCAATGTTCCTAGCATTCAGGCAAGATCGCCTGCACCCGCATGCGTGGGTGCAAATGATACTGCACCCCGTCTTTCAGTGCCGTACGTCGTGATCAGTCGTCCGAAATCACGGAATCTGAGAAGTAGGATTGTCAGTTCGCCGAATAGGACAAAAAACATGTTTGCAGTTGTTAACCGTCATCGTGTTCATGTTCTAAATGTCCAATTACTTGCAAGATGGTCATCAGAGGAGGCAAATAGACGCGGCAAGATTGATCATGACTGTTGACATCACAAGGTGGTATCATCACAACTCGAATGCAGTTATCACCAGACCGAGTGAGTTATACTAGCACTCCACCATTTGGTGTGGCAGTGCCATCGCTCTTGGCGCACCAAATCGCTGTGGCGATCCCCATATAAGCATTGAAAAACTGGATCGACCAAGCCAAAGGCATTGGCATCGAAAGTTCAAACCAAACTCCCTGGACACATCCTAAAACACGGCCGCCACCCATCGCCACATCGACGACACTCCACCTGGACCGCCGCCCGCGGGGCGCCGTCAGCGGACGTACACCAGTTTGGGGTCGCACGTGAAGCGGTCATGCGAGCCCTTGTCGTGACAAACAACGTGCACCAGGCGCAGGTTCTCCGTGGTGAAGAGCAGCCGGTAGAAGTAGTCGGAGTTGACCCGGCGGTGCGGTCCGGCCGACTGAGCGGTCTCCACCAGCGTCGGCAGGATCGTCCGCGACCTCTCGATGCTGCCGGGGTAAGCGCCAGGTCAAGGTCATAGGTCACGGCGGTAGACAACAGGGGACGGCGCCTCACGACGACGCCCACGCTGTCAGAGATCAGGGGTCACGGCGGGGGTCAGATCGGCACGTAACCGCGGCGGCGGAACCGCGCGCACGACCGTGCGCTACCGTTCCGGGTCATCGCGTGGTGACGGCCGGAGCGATCGGAGATGACAACGGAAGCCCCGGCCGCTGACGTGCGTCACGCTCCACCGATAAGCGCGGTCGGCCACGGCCGCGCCGCAGCCACGGCCGCGGCCGACAGAGCGGCACCCGGCCGCGATCCCCTCCACACAGCGCCGGCCGCCGCCCGCCAGGCCGTACCGGTGGTCCAGGTTCCACGTGGAGAACACGATGCGCTGCTCGCGGCTGCTGTAGGGGTTCACCCGGTGGTCGTCGTAGCCGCACCGCTCGGCGGCGAACTCGCCCTGGCAGGCGAACGTGCCGGCCGCGTCGCACAGCCGACCGGCGTGGCCGCGGTCGAAGCGGTGCCCGTGGAAGCGGTCGGCGCGCAGTCGGTCCAGCATGTCTGACAGCAGCGACGTCAGCAGCGGCTGCGCGGCGGCCGGCGCGGCGCGCAGCTGGTCGCGCGACTTGTAGAAGTAGCCGCGCACGCGCGCCTCGCACCGCCGCCGCATGTACTCCTCCTTGGTGGCGGCAGCCGTGTCCAGGCCTGCAGGCCGTTCGGACGGGGTCACGACAAAGTTCCGGGGGTGTGGTAGGGTATCGAAAAGAGAGCTGAAGGAGTGGCCATTCGGAATACAAGAGGACTTCTATTGCGCTGCATTTAAAACGATAGCTATGAGTTGGGCGTTGAAGCAGAAAATAATATGCTATCCTGTCCCATTTCGTTTCACAGAGCCGTAAATTTATTGGCAAAGAAACACGACGCATGCCGTCGCGCACCCCTTCCGTACAGAATCAGCCACTGCAATCGCTATTTTAGCATTCTGGGGTCCTAGCGCACACTGGGTTCGAACTGGGCCCCCACGTGGGAGCCGAAGGCGGCGATCTGGGCCGCGTCGGGTCCGGTCGTGCCCACCTTGGAACCAGTCGGGATCGTCGGCCCGTCGGCTGAGTGCCGTGCGGCAGGGCCGGCCGGCAGGCGGCGCCAGCAGCGCGGCCGGCGTGCCGTCGTCGCGCAGCAGGGCTCGGATGCCGTCCTGCAGCTCGGTGCCGCGCCACGTGCGCAGCAGCTGCTCCACCAGACCCACGACTGCCGGCGGCCGGCTCGTCAGGCGGGTCGGCGCCGGCCGACAGGCACTCGGCATTGCGTGGGTTGGGTCAAAGGAGCGCGCAGAGTTGCGAATAGCAGCCACCCCCGTGCCGCCGTGATCGGTGCGGGGGCATGACCTGGCTCAGACCGGAGGTCACAGCGGTGGTCACTGTGATCGTTACAGTACAAAAATGGACGGGGGAAGTGGCAGATAGGAGTCACCAGAATCCGGTAACCTCCTCGCAACATCTCTGCTGGAGTCTTAACATAATTTTGCATAATGCTTTAGACGAGGCATTAGTATCATGGATGGAATAGTTGTGCGGTCTATCGTCCTTGTCTGGTGCGTTGGTATGTACGCAACGTTTTGGCCATTTTACTCTAAGGTCGTCATGGTTATTGAGTCCTGAGCAAGACCGGATGGTGCAAGGCTTTCAGCCGTGTAAATGTCAGGAATTGCTGGTAATCGAACCGAAGTCTCTTGATTATGAGTCCAGCGCTCTACCAACTGAGCTGGCCGGGGAGGATAGCTGCTCTTTATGGTTAGCTCAGTTGGTGGAGCATTCTTTCCCAGATGTGCTTCCTGATTGGCTCAGTTGGTAGAGTGCTGGACCCGCGGTCAGAAGACCTCCTTTCGAATCCCCATAATTCCACGGAGAGAACTTGCCTTGTGATACAGACATGGCTGAAAGGCACTAACATCCAATCCTTACCAGGCTTCTATAGCACCTGACGACAACCGGTGACCTACATGGCAGCAACAATGTGCACGCACTAACACAAAAGACAATGGAGATAGTCCGAGCGACTTTTTCATCCGGGTTCTCAACAGTTGTGCATGCCACAACCAGGGTAAGCCAGAGAGGCACAGACGAGGCGCGCTTGTCCCCGTCGTGCAACCATCACCATTGTGGACTTACTCGCAGTCGGCTGCAACGACTCGCCAGCCTTCAGAAGTACAACCGTGGTTTGGTTGTCTAGCACGTCGAAATAGTCCTTGTCGACCAGCGTGCCGTCCGGCAACGAGATAGAAACACCTTTCCGGCTGATCTGGAAGGAGGGAGATGTCTGTTTATTCACGTCCCAAGACAAACACGCCACAACACGGATGTTGCCACACAACGTGTCTACAGATCAGCTGTACGCTGATGAGGATTTCAAGGATCGTGGAGAGCACCTGTCACTGCCGATCCGTGGGTTCAAAAACAGTTCATCCTAAAATATACAAGGTAATGGATGTTTGGAAATTCTCTAGAAACCCATGACGTGAGACAAATCGGTACGCGGTGAGGTTGGCTGGTGGTCAGCAGCGTTTGAAGTCCGTCTTCCAGGACAGACTGGAGGGTACACGCTTACTGCCGCGGCGTTCCCACGCTTATGTTCAGATCGCACTGCTCGACAAATGGCCGGAAAAAAGGCGTGCTTAGGTCTGGTACTTTCAGACAACGAGAACGGCAAATTTCGAATAATTGACAATTTTGATGACCTTGACCAAACCATTGCGAAAAGGCACATTTTCGGTCCACATCGGTCACTATGGACCGGCTTGGACTGGACGCCTGTGTACTTTTCATGCTGGAATCTCTCGGCTCGGCCGGAGGTGTGATGAAGTCGAGACCGGCCTCGACACAGGTGACGTTGACCGCCTCTCAGTCGCCTACTGGTGCACCTGTGAGTCGGACGTTATGGAGACCGCGACGCCAGGGTCAGCAATATCTTCGGCCGCCTCAGCCCACGCCGTTTGTTTCTGACTTTGTAAATGTTACGTCTGCGTACCGAATAGAATGATGAACTTGTTCAAATTGCCATGCTGCAGGAAGGTCACGCCTGATCGCGGATGGTGTGAGATGCCTCACGGTTTATGCAGAACAGCTGAAGGAAATACACCTTTTGTTGTTGACAGCCGTATGAATCTGCGATCAGTCGATCAGTCACTTCAAAAATATGATATTCCAGAAAGGATGAGGGCAGAACCGAGGCCGGGTACAGCACCCGCGTCAAAGCTTTCTCGCTGTTCAAACAAGATTTGTTTGGGCTACCCTCTCATTCACAATCAATACTAGTTGATGCCTCCCAATGCATTAGCAGTGTTAATGATACATTAGAGGTTATGACACATCAGTAGTTGTGATGCATCAGGCATTTTGAACATAAGGTGTTATAATACATTAGTGTTTATGAACATCAGGTGCTGTGATAATCCCACCTCTGCCAGGCCTTTGAAACACCATTAGTAAGATCTGCAAAGACAATCCAAACATTTTTTCCTACCTAAGTGGGCAGTACTAACTCTCCATTCACTGAACTGATCATCCTGGGCACCCACACAAAAAGTAAAACATTTAAATGGCTCATTTCAGAATTGCACACCTACCTGCAATCTTGCACATGCTTGTTTATCAGGTCACTGAAAGACGAAGCAGCAACACCAATTTTTCTCTTGTTGCCCAAAGACGTGACCTTAATCCCTTTCAGCCTCTGCTTCCTACTAGATCGTGCAGTGTCATCACCAGCATCCATGGTGATAACACCTGGAAAGGAGAGAGAGGGTGTGATGCTTAATTATTTACAAATAATCATAACATGACACATGACATAGGTGTCATGCATATACTGTGTTATATGTTCATCCCCCTCCCCTCCAAAAAATGAAGCTGTCTTCATCCAACACTTGGACTAGAATGTCTTCGCAAGTAGCACTCTCTTTTCTCTCACCCAGATCCTTTTAGGGCTGACTACATAGGAGGCTGTACAGTACTTACATTGTGCATGGAGGGGGAGGGGATAAATGGAAGGCTACCCAAGTGTGAGAAGATAGGATTTAGGGAACAGCATTACATTACACCCAGGTAAGGACTAAGGTTGCATGTCACCATAAAATCACAAAGGGAGTACTCAGCATATGTGTGTACTTTTGAAGTAAAAGAGCCATCTTAGAGATATATGAGGACTATTTTCACTAAATAGAGAAATCATGCTGTCTAAGAGCAGTCTTTTTCATGTAAAAGTATATCAGTATATCAGTCTAAAAGAATATCAGCCATTGTAAATGAATTCATTTATTGATATATGATGCATGCTACGCTATCCAAATGCAGACTTCCCATTAATACAGGTAAAACCAGGGTAGGAATTGTTAAAATCGGTGTTTTACGCTGCAAGGTTATATTTTCATCTGTTGACGTTTTCAATGCATCACATGGATATTGGTTACGCTGGAAAATGGTACCTGACAATGCAATAACAATTGTTCATTACTTGAACTTTAAAACATCAGACACCATAAGCAATCCTAAAATAGGGTGTGGGTGTACTTTCCTACCTAACGTTAGAAAAAATCATTGCACACCATTCGTCGTGTTCAAGGCGGCACATATCGTAAATCATCTCAAAACAGGTAGAATCATGCTCCTACCTTCGAATCTCAATAACTTCGATGGCGAGCTCCCGAGCGCCGCGCGCACCGCACCGCCTGGACTCCCAGCGCCGTTTCTGCTTTGCCGTTGCGTAAATACAATATTTCTGCTTACCAAGAACTCTACAAAATGTACGGGACCAAGGTAAACCATTCGTCGTGTTTAAGGCGGAACATATCGTAAATAATTTCAAAACAGATAGAATCATGCTCCTACCCTCGAATTTTAATAAATACGATAGCGAGCTCCCGAGCGCCGCACGCCCCGCACCGCACTGCCTCGACTTCCAAGCGCCGTTTCTACGTTGTTGCGAAAGCACAAATATTTCTGCTTATCAAGAACCATAAAACATGTATGGAACCAAGGTAACAATAATAAAGCAACCAAAATCGTTTCTTATCGAGTTTAGGTACATTTATGAATACGCAGGCCGAATAGTCCAAACATATCCTAACCTAACCTAGCCTAGCCTCCTACCTAACCTAACCTAACCAATACCTACCTAACCTAACCTACCTACCTAGCCTAGCCTAACCTAACCTAACCTAACCTAACCTAACCTAACCTAACCTAACCTAACCTAACCTAACCTAACTAACCTAACGAGAATAGCCAGAACCTAAGCGCTAAGCTAAGCTAAGCTACCTGACCTGACCTTACCTGACCTAACCTGAACCTAACCTAACCTAACCTAACCTAACCTAACCTAACCTAACCTAACCTAACCTAACTAACCTACCCAACTTAACCTACCAACCCAACCCAACCCAACCCAACCTATACCTAACCTAACCCCCTAACCTAACCTCCCCACCCTAAATCCCCTTCAACCAGCATCTCATTGGCATCCAATGTTCCATGCCACATATAGGTGCCATATAGTGAGCTTTTATTTAGCTGCCATGTTCTCATTTTGCTTTACATTCCCCCCCCCAATCCCCCTGCACCCATGGTCCCGTTGGCGTCGAGGATCAAATTTCATGGATTCTTTTCATGGATTCTTGCTACCTTGTCCCCGTCATTTTTATGGTTCGCAGATATGGTTTATAGTTATAGTATGATTTATAGATTTATAGTTTTAGTTTATTTAGTATGGTTCGCAGTTAATATGGTTTATATGGTAATATGGCTATGGTAAATATGGTTATGTTAAGTTAAATATTTTTATGGTTCGCAGTTAGGTTATGGTTGTCCTGCCTTAAACATGACGAATGGTTTTACTTGGGTCCGGTACATTTTGTACAGTTCTTGGTACTGGTACGCAGAATATTGTTTTACGCAACGGCAACGCGGAAACGGCAAACTGGGAGTCCAGGCGGTGCGGTGCGCGCGGCGCTCGGGGGCCCGCCATCAAAGTATTTGGAATTCGAATGTAGGAGCATGATTCTACCTGTTTTGAGATTATTTACGATATGTCATGCCTTAAACACGACGAATGGTGTACAATGATTTTTTCTAACGGTAGGTAGGAAAGTACACACCTGACCTAAAATAATATATTTCGGATTCTATCATCTTACCCTCCAAATTATCTATGGCAACAACCGCGGCCCCCGCTCACACACCACCATCCCCACTGATTAACCTAAGCCATTGATATGGCACGATGCTGGCGCATCAAGGCCATTCCGATGGATCAACCAGCGATTCCTTTTTGACGCGGGGTGTTTGCGTACTTCTTGTTGATTGGTCAACCTGGTGACTAAATATGACGTCTTAACATAAAAGGAACGTGACATGGGATGTGTCGTTGGTGCTAAATGGAGCTGGTCCTCTCTAAATCTCAACTTAGTGTCCACTGTTCCATGTAGATATTTCTTCCCTATCGCCCTTATCATATTTTATACCTATCAGATCCCTTCTAAGTCTACAATATTTCAATGAGCGCAGAGACAAGCCCCTGAGCCTTTCCTTATATTCTGAGTCGCATTTATTATCCTAGCTGCTTTCCGCTGCACTCTTTCTAGTCTAGCTATATTTTTGGGAGGTAACAATATGCATAAATGCTACGGCATGGTGCATGCCTTAAAGAGATCACCTCATTTTGCTTGTGCTGTTCACCGTTTGCTACATGATACCACTGATCTATCTGCTATCGTTTATTGTTACGCGCCTTAGTTAGACCCGTGAGATTTGATCAGTAACATCACTTTGCTCAAAATTCTTCTAAATATCCCAGAACTTCGATTTGAAGTAGCCGACCCTTCATGAGAAATCTCGTTCTGATAAACGGTTTCCCTCAGAAAGGATTTATCTCGGGATTTCCCTCAAAAGAAATTGCATAAAGGTGAAAACAACACCGCTACTTCGGCTTGCTTTTCCAATGTGGATGCCCGGTAATGTTTGCAAAACGTTAATGTGTCAAAAGCAGTGAACATAAATAAATGAACATAACTGTGTAGCAGCGAACATAAATTCGCTATTATCCCGTGAATTCAACGAAAAAGCAGAAATTTATCGCTGTTATGGCTCTGATTTCTTTCCAACTTCTCAGAAACAGGCCCCTGCCCGCTGGGTCAATGACAATCGTTCTTTTACTCGCACCAGTAGAGGCACGCAAGGTCGTGCTCATGATGAAGGTGGCCGCGACTTCGGGGAAGAAATATAGCAGCATTAAGTCGTGCTGTTACAAAGCGCTGAAAACAGAATTTCGGCTTGAGTACAGTTAAACTGCATGTCCTTATTATGTCCTCAAGGTGCTGCAGTGATACTAATTAGTGCTATTATAAAACTTAACTGGTCTTCAGGCCTAAATAGAGTATGCCTTTGAAGTATTCCCCAAAGTTGAAAAGCTCAAAGTTTGACGATCTTTTAACCTCTGGGGAAGTAAAATGTCACTTTGGGAGCACTTTTGGAAACAAGAGTAAATGATGCGACGGATTGCTATGGACCAAAACAACGCAAAACATGGTTGCAGTCCCTGCTGTGGAGGGGAGGGGCGGTGAGAGAGGTCTCTTATTTCCTTGTTGTCTGCCCCGGTATGGAAAATATGTACACCTTGAAAGGTTTAGAGGCTCAGCCTCAGCCCCACCACCACCACCAATGGCTCCCGCTAGGCACTCAACCACTTGCTTAGAGGTCTCGTAATCGCATTCCGCAGCCCCCTCCCAATTAGCTCCAAGGCGGCACAGGGCAGCTAGCCAGTTCGTGGCCTGTCAACATCTTATTCAATGTGTTTGATAGAGTTCGGCATCTAGTGTGCGAAAAGGTGGAAGGAGCCGATCAACAAAATATTTGTCAATTTGCGCTCGAACGTTATGATTTGGTTCGGCGGAGGCGCTGCGAGCTAGTGGACGACTCGTGAAGCCTTGCTCATGTGCGCACGTGCTCGCCGTCATTCATGATTTAACCTTGTGTACTGCAGTGGGGAATAGTCGCCGGCACCGCCTGTCACCTTCCATAAATTCCCTGCCACCCCACCCCGTCTTCCACTTCCTGCACTTCATGCTCCACGGCTACAGTAAATACACCATTACACACCATAAGTTCAATGACGACGGGTAATAAACCCGCGCACGCACATCAAGAGCGAGAGACACACATAACCGCACGCCGAGGAAGAAATGTCACATTAGACATCGAAGATTGTCATATCAGCTGCTGGAAGAGCCCACTTCTAACGAAAGCTGCCCATCTCAGCGTTTCTCCCAACCCCTAACATGACGCGCCTTAGTTTCATTCCCAAGACCTAGTATCCCCTTGTTGATGATTTGGGGTTTTAGGGCGCATCGACTGCTATAGGTCATGCAGCGCCCATTAGTATCCCCTTGATATGCAACGATCATGACAAAAGCAGCATCAGCAAACAAACCTGTAGAAAGCGCTCGCCACTGAGGGAGAGAGGCCACTTGTGTCTGTGCGGCTGCATATCGTGCTCCACATCCACAATGTGGAGAACAATGAGCAGACGGGCGGAAAAGCTCACGACACGGGCGGGTTAGAGTCCCAGGGATAGCCTGGGGAGGTCCACGTGGTCAACGCAATCGTTTTTTAGCCATTACAACGTCGTTTAAAACCGATATCTTCTGGCATAGTTAAAGGTCGATTAACCTATCAAAAAAACACTTTAACTTAATAAGCCGTCATATCATCATCGCATGCCTCAATCCAAGCACAACTTGCCGCGCCGTTAACCCCGGCCGTTCTCGCGATTCCCCCTCCACTCCAGTCCGCCCGCCTAAAACCAGCCTTCTACAAGTAAGTCACGGGTCAACGTGCCTTGAGTTCCAGGTACGTACATCTGACATCGGCGCGCACGCCGGCAGGTCAGCCTGCTGGTAGCCGGTGCAGGAGCCGGGTAGCGTGCGCTCATGCCGCGGCATCGTTGGGAGGCGACGCCGCCGGGCACAGCGCGGCTCTCGCACGACCTATGTGTGCCCAGCGTCACCTAGCATGACCCGGCCCCGGCCCCGACTCTCACGTAATGCCAGCCCGTGGACACGGTGCTCCACAGAGAGATCTGGCATAGCGCGAAAAGTCCCCCCCCCCCCCCCCCCGTCGTCCGCCAAACCACTGCCTGTCCATGTCTTGTCTTGTCTTGTCTTGGATTAGGGCGCATAGCACTCCTGGGCTCAAGCGTAAACCACTGTCTGTCAGTCTAAGCGCCGCCGCTGCAGTTACGCCATTTGGCAGATGAGGTCTCGCCCACACGGCCCGCTACAGCTAACGCTGGACGCCACCGACGTTCGCATGGATGTCCATGAGAGGAGGGTGCTTGTTCACCCCATTTGCTCCTGAAGTAACCTTGACAGGCGACAGCCGGCTAAACAATGGGACCGACAGCAAGCATCGCGCCGAATTGCCGCCCTCCTCGACATCGGGAACATCCGTGTGTTTTACCGGTTTGGCGTTTCTGATTGAATTAATCGTAAGGTGATCTCACCAAACGGCAGCTCTCCCTCCTATGGCAGCGCACTCAGCCGATGGCGGATCGGATGGCCGCAAAGATAGACGAATCCCCGACACCAACCGGTCTCTGCCCACCCAGCCCGCCTTCCAGTCACACCACCGGTCTCGGTCCACCTCGCCCTCCAAGCCACACCACCGGTCTCTGTCCCGTCTCGCCTTCCGAGCAACACCACCGGTCTCTGTCCCGTCTCGCCTTCCGAGCCACACCACCGGTCTCTGCCCCCGTCTCGCCTTCCAAGCCCAAACTCTGGTCTCCGCCCCAGCTCGTTTTGGTTCGAACCACCCATCAAACAACAGCTGACGATATACATTTTATTGAAAGGTAAGTCGTAGCACCATTGCACATTGACGTATATGAGTAAGAGCATCAGAGCACGAAGGACCAGAACAAAACCCGTCGCACACGAATACCACAGAATGACGTGAACGTCCGTGCAGGGAAAGTCGGAAATGCAAAGGATATACCGGCATATGTCAGAAAGTTCGCGTACAAAGGACAATTTCCAAGCAGACCATTCTTTAACCTACGCAAGATCCCGACTAACAGTAAAACCCCTGCAAAGATGTCACGCTCCCTGATGCTGAGAAAAATCGCAGAGATGCGTCAGTTACGATTGAAATTGCACTAAACCAAGGAGCCACGCATATTGAAAGATCGGCGACTGCTGACTGCCGACTGCCGACTGATGCCTAAGTCCAAACTACTTGCAATTTGACTGACTCTAGTCTAAATGAGCACATATGTACTTCAGAGGAAAGACATAAAGTGTATATCACTCGTATGCTTAGGTAGAAGAATTGAATGGACAAACGTACAAACGCGAGACAAACAGGTGGTCGGCGCATCTCGCCCGGCCCGCGCGGCGCCGCCTCACCGCACAGGCGGGAGACTCAACGGCGCAGCAGCCCCACAAGCTACAACACCACCACGACGAAGAGTGAAGACGCCCGCATAGCGGCGAAGCAAAGACGACCCGCCGCCGGTGCGGCCGGCGCGCGTGCCGCCGCCCGGCGGCTGGCTGAGGGCCTCTCTGACTGGCCCCTCCTCCAGCGCCGGCTCGGCCGCCGCGGCTCTGCCCGCACGCAGGCCCGTCCCCGGCGGCGACGAGCGAGCTGTTCCGACGGCCGCCGGCCGCAGCCAGCCGCGTACGGAGAGGCCCCCGACGACACGTGGCGCCGCCCGCCGCTGGGCGGCGGCGCTCCGGCCAGCCGGCCGCGGCCGCCGTGAGCAGCCTGCCCTCGGACCGGACGCCGCCGTCCGAGGTTTCGTGCAACGCCACGCGGCCGGCCGCCTCCGCCGGAGCTTCCGGGCCCCGGGCCGCCAGTGCGGCAGGCCGTGGTCACACAACGCGGCCGTGTGACAGCAGACCGCCACAAGACGCCAACTATAGCTCTAGTACAATCAAAACCACGACTGGAAACGGATCAAACCAGAGTACGAGCACGGACAGACACTCCCCCCTCCCCCCCCCCCCCCCCCGGAGAGCGAAACAAAAGTACGCCAACGGCAGCAACTTACCGACGGCGCCCTTGCGTCAGCGATCACGGGGGGCCATTGCAACAGAGTATGGAAGGCTGAGGCTAAACACTTGAAGACCAAAAAGCTCGCTAAGAGCTAACAAAAACTATCACACAAAAATGCGCTCTGTCAGCACTAATTCGAAGCGCTCGGGGGTGGCACGATGGGTAAACGCCGATGAATATGTCTCGCAGAAAATCACAGCTGTTGACGGCGCCAAGACGGGCTTTGAACACATGCTTCACAACGTAATGAAACAGAACTACTTGCAATTTCTAACTGCGTCAATAAGTGGCACCAGGGATGCGCAGATCTAACCCCCTGTAGTCCGTAACAATGGAAAGGCAATCTTGGATCACACACCTGGACGCTCAACCACCGTGGCGGAGGGCAATTACACGTTTATGCGCAACACGCGATTTCTAAGAACGAAACGTCGCTGAGAGGAATTCGGGTTAACTTAGAAACTTGCTCAATAACGCATGGAAAATGAACACCGCTGAAAACAATGCTACCTGCCACTGGACCCAAAGTCGGCCCGACATGCGAAAGCGCGACAATGATGCGTTGTAAGCTGAAAGCAGTCGCAATAAGATATTGCACAAACTCCAAGGCAGCGTTCCCACACGCTCCGGGTCATCGCCTGCCCTCTTCCTGACAGCTCGCGGCGCCTCTCACGGCGCGCGGACCGCTCATCGCGACAAACTCCTCGGCTGCGACGGCTCGCAGCGGGCCAAACGGCGGCGGCGCTCCCCACGCGTGACTCAGACGACAGCGCAGGCGGCCGGCCGTCGGGGCCGCCGGGGGCGCCCAGCGCGGGCCCGAACAGGGGCACGGCTCTCACCCGACCACGCGTCACAGGGAGATGGTCGGCGGCGCGTCCGCCTCGCCAGATGGCAGCGCCGTCGCCACGCCCGCCCTGTCCAGTCTAGACTAACACCAAAATTAAGGCGAACAGTAAGGCGCTTTATCAATGAGGAATATATGTATGCCGAGAGATGCGCTGGCGGACGCCGGGCCACACTCGTTGAGTCTCGTTCTGCTAGCGTCCGCATGGATCGCGGTTCCGAACCTGGAGCCAGCCTGGTCGGAGGCTGCCAAAACTGAGTTTCGATTTCCAGCCGATAGGTGGACGCACACGCTCATATGTTAACGTAGTTTTTGTAGAATTTGTTGACGAAGTCCGGCAGGTTGAACACCTGGCCCTGGCCGACGCGAGGGTCCATCGAGATGAAGGCCTGCAGGTTGTTCTCCGATCCTGGAATTGAACCCCGCAGTCACACGTCAGGCCTGGTCAGCACGCCCAAAACCAGTCCGTGCACACACTACCCTGTGGACGCACAACACGACATACCAGTCATCAAACATCTCCTCGCGGGCGCCGTGACACAATGACATATAAAAAGGTTCTTCGCCTATCTGGAGCAATCGACCCTGACTCACGCACCATTCACCAAACGGCATGACTGCCCCAGCCTCGCCAGGTATGCTGCAACGGGAATGTCCCCACAACTCGAATGGCTCGGTCCCGACAAGGTACCACACAGTGACGCACAAAGCACTGCTTGCCCGTGGTGTCCGTGCTACTCAGCCACGTGCCTGTCACATCACCTCCAGTCATGACGAGGACCGCGCAGCGTGCAGTTCCACACCATTTCGCGATAGAGCTTTACACATTATTTCGTGGTAAATATTTCGGCGTGAATTTGTCCGTTGGTGCTCTGTCAGTACGCTATCAGCGCTTTGCCCAAGATCTGCCTGAGTTCTGTCGGCGCTCTGCCCGTGCTCGGTCGGTGTTCTGTCGGCGCTCTGCCCGTGCTTTGCCGGTGCTCTGTCCGTGCTCTAACGGCGAGCAGTCCATGCTCTGTCAGAGCTCTGCAAGTGCCGTGTCCGTGCTCTAGCGGTGAAGTGTCGGTGCTTTGCCGATGCAGTGCAGTATCCGTGCCCTGCAGATGCAGTGTCCGTGCTCTGACGGTGCAGTGTCGGTGTTTTGCCAATGCGGTGCAGTGTCCGTGCTCCGTCGGTGCAGTGTCCGTGCTCTGTCGGTGCAATGTTCGTGCTCTATCGGCGCTCTGTCTGTGCTCTATTGGCGATCAGTCTATGCTCTGTCAGCGCTCTGCCGGTGCCGCGTCCGTGCTCTGGCGATGTAGTGTCGGTGCTTTGCCGATGCAGTGCAGTGTCCTTGCTCTGCAGGCGCAATGTCTGTGCTCCGTCGGCGCTCTGTCCGTGCTCTATCGGCGATCAGTCTATGCTCTGTCAGCGCTCTGCCGGTGCCGTGTCCGTGCTCTGCCGGTGCAGTGTCGTGCTCTGCCGGTGCAGTGTCGTGCTCTGCCGGTGCAGTGTCGTGCTCTGCCGGTACATTGTCCGTGCTCTGTCGGCGCTCTGTCCGTGCTCTGTCGGCGCTCTGCCCGTGCTCTATCGGCGATCAGTCGATGCTCTGTCAGCGCCCTGTCGGTGCTGTCGGCGCTCAGCCGGCTCTGCGCCCAGGTCCGCCTGGCGCGTCCGTCAGAGCCTGGGACCCAGCGGCGGCTCCTCCCGCGCCGGCTGCCGTGTCGGCCCCGCATCAGACCCGCTGATTAGATGGGGGCTCAGCCGGCTGACACGGCGCGCCGTCGCCGCCACACAGCGGCCGTGCCCACGCCACAATGGCCGGCAGAACCTCCGACGGGGCGGCACAACAGCGACGGCTTTGTTCTCGGCGGTCGTTATGTCGCATTTCTGCGCCGACAGGGCGACCAGGAAGTGATTTCTAGGCTATTGCGACGACTCCGCCGTGTGACGGCGCTCCGGGGCCGACGGGGCCGAGGCGTCAGCGGCTCTGGACCGCAGCCGTCGCCTCGCGACCGGCAGTGCCCGGGACGGCGGCGACCTCCGGAGCGGCCCGGCCGGCGCGCTCACCTTGTGTCCGGATCGGCGGGTACGGCGGCGGCGGCGACGCCCAGGCGCCGCTGTCACGCTTCATGTGAGACCGGTCCGACGCGAACGTCTCCAAGAACTCGGCGGCCGGCACCACGCGGAAGAACCTGCAACGGGGCCAGTCGCTCAGGCACACGCGGACAGCAAGCGGCCTGCTAGCCCGCCCACACACGTATGTACGGCGGACGATCCCGTGCGGACCCCCACAAACGCACGCGCAGCACACGACCTGCGGACCAATCGCCTCACGTAGCTGGGTGATTGGTCCCATGACACCCAAGGCTCGTGCACCCGCGCATGCATACTGCAGACTACCTCAGAGCCCGCCACACACGTCACGCGCGGCACACGGACGGCTGGGCAGCCGCGCGGCCGTGCTGCTTCCTGGGGGCGGTCTGCAGCCGGCCGGCGCCACCCGAGGGTCAGAGAGGCCGCGGCGGCCGCGGCGCAGCACGGGTATGATTGAGTGGCTGGCCGTATGGACCGACCGCCCACTCGCCGGCAGCCGACCAAGCTGTCCTCATCAATTTTGGAGCGCGCCACAGTCTGCGAGGTCGGGAAGTGGCTGAACGGCAGGGCGGTAAGTGTACTTCGCCCTCGCTCTGATTCGCCGTTTTTCGTAACGCTGACCGCTCACGGGAGGGGGGGGGGGGGGGCGATGCTATCCCTGCCGTTTCGGAATAAATACAGTTACGGCTTAGCGGAAAATGCCAGCGGGTTCGTCTCGACGAGATTTCGCGACTGGTAGAAGTTTTTATCCGGTCAATCATTGAATCTATCATTGTAGGTCAAAGGTCGAATAAAAAACACACTTCAGGTTTAAAACATCAGACCTACGCGACCTTATTGCGACATGAGACTTCAAGAGGCGTGTTCCTTTCTGACGTTTGAGTACACTTGTGCATATTTTGATGCTCTGAAAATACATGTATTCTCATGGCTCCGTTAATGTAACAATGTCGGCCCGCCGCGCGCGTCCCGCAGCATCGTTGGTTGCCGCCCGCCCGCCCGCTCGGGTCGTGCACCGCCGTGCAGTGTTCCTAAAAAACCGCCGCCGCTCTGAAGCCAGAAAAAAACTAGGAAAAACCTTTTGGTGTCGAAACACGCGCAATGGATGCCACATAGGCTTCTGGAACTTTCGGTGTTATTTCACAACGTGCCGGAAAGATATCCTAAAAAAACCTTAGGAAGTTGCATCAACCCCCTCCAGAGAGCGAAGGTTTTAGCGAATATTCCACATCAGAAGATAATGAAGTAAGCATCAGATATGACGAAAACAGTTCACTTATAACTATTGGTATACTATTAGGTGGAAAATACTGCTCTAGACAACACAATTTCTCTGTTTGACCTTGACATTGATCGCCGTACGGCTAATGGAATTGCGAGATTTGAATGACATGCCGTCATGGATGCCTGGGTGGCCTTCAAATCGTCTCCCAGAAATAGTCCGTGAACCTTCGCCGGCGGTAGGTCAGAAACTTAAGAGGTCTAAGCCTCAACAAGAGCAGGGCTGTGAACCGCACCGAATAACATTCAAGGTGGCTATTTCAGTTCGAAACGCCATACAAATGTGGAGCACTACCTTTAAAGTCCACGGCACAGCGGGCAAACCGACAGCAAAACCGGCGCCGGGGCGTGCGCGCCGTCCATAACTCGTTAACGGAGCGGCCGGGGTGGTTCTTTCACGTCAACAGCGTCGAGTGGCCGGCGGCGGGAGGCACTCAGGCTGCGCTCGGCCATTAGCCCGTTAGAGGCCGGTCCGACGGCGGTCGGACCCGGCGACCTCGGAGCCTGGAGGGGTGGTGGTGGTGGGACCCGGCGACCTCGGAGCCTGGAGGCGGGGTGGTGGTGGGACCTGGCGACCTCGGAGCCTGGAGGCGGGGTGGTGGTGGGACCCGGCGACCTCGGAGCCTGGAGGGAGGGGGTTGTGTGGGTGAGACCCGGCGACCTCCGAGCCTGAAGAGCGGGGGGGGGGGGGGGGGTGACGGTGGGACCCGGTCATGTCCGAGCCTGAAGAAAGGCGGTAGCCGGCACGAGTCCAACGGCCCTCGGCCCTCCCGCAGCCGGTCTAAAAGCTACACCTCAGTGCGGTCCAGAAGCCGAAGTTTGTCACCGACCTCCTTGCGCCTGGCGTTTTGTGTCTCATCGGCTTGGCCGCACAGTTGTGGCGTAAGGAGCATATGCGCGCGAAGTAAGCACTTGAATCAGGTTTTAATAAACGCTTCCCTTATCAGCTCATGCTATCATTTTTTTAAACTATTGGCAAGATTTCTGTACTTTGCATAATGACCTTTTTCCAGGACACGGGTATGAACGAACCAATGTTGAAATGTGCCAGTAGTTATAAGTGACCTTACTTCATCATGTCTGACCACTGCTTCAATATCGTCAAATGTGAAGCATTTCTCTTAACTTGCCTCAAGCGCAAGGGCAGCAGCGTGGGTAGTGGCAGGGGCGGGGGCGGAGACGGGCGACCAGCATCACTGTTTTGTTTCAGCCAAAGCGGCAAGTGTCTCAGACATGGTGGCAGGCGCTTTAGATGGTTTATCGGGTAAGCCGAATGAATATGTGATACTTCATGTTACGGGGCACATCAAAAGCGATCTGGTATTGAGGTCAGATGAGTTACCCATCAAAGCACAGAAAGGTTATTTTCGAATGGGAAAGCGATTTTGGGGATTGCTATGGTATCTCTTCAAATCGGCTTTCGGTGACATCGCAAAAGTGGGGACTGGTATGCAAAGGCGTGTTTCCTTCTCCATGTATTCTAACTCCGCGAGTGATGAGATGTAGCAGTGAACCGGCTAGTTCGGAAGTGTCAAAGTAACAATCTGCTCGCCTCAAAACGGTCTCAGCAGTCGCCCAGCGAAGCGGGCGAACCACACTCGTCTAAAGACTTTTTTGGTGAGGACGCGTCTATCTGTCCCCGCGAAGCGCCGCGCGCGGATCGAACACGACGGGTCGCTGAGCGGTGAAAATTGGACGCGGCGCGCACCAGGCGGTTTTTCACGGGTGTATCGCGAGCCGCTGAGGTCCGAGACAGGGCGGGGCACGTGGCGAAGGGATCTGAGGTAGCTCAATGAACGGGGAATCGCGTGGTGCCAGATGCGCGCGTGTCCCATGTCGCGTGCGCAGAACCGGCCGAGATGGATTTGGCCCCTTTTCACGTGTTTTTTTTTTTAACGTTTTACGTCACAACTCGGCAACCAATGCGCGTAGAAGCGCGAATCCAATTGCAAAGCGTCGACCGACGTACCAACCGCAACTAAGTTGTCCACACGAGTTTGAGTGACGCATGGTTGCGCCGATAATCGTAGAGAAAGCCTGGAATGTCGGCATTACGACAAACGGCCCGATACACAACACGTCGTCGTTGAAACTGCAGCCAGAGTCGTGGCGAAATTTACATCAACGCATGCAACGATTCGTTGCCCGTATTCACCAGCCATTTGATCGTCATTCTGGACACCATTCCCATCCATACATCAACTTAACCTGACGGATTGCAATTTCACATTTTTGCGTCGCCAAAATGCCAAGGCATCTCCGCTCACTTGCCAGCAGCGCGTATTTCAAATACAACGACCAACCACGCATGCGCAATATGTTGCCGGCGCCCAGCAGTAGTGCTTCCTTCATTCACGAATTCATTCATTCGCTGCGACAGATTGTTCTCAGCAAAAGCTCACTTCTGCGGTGATAAGGCACTCTCACTGTCTTCGCGGGGTCTGTTTTGGAGTAACTGGAGATTCTGACAACACAGAAACATTGCAGTAACATCGACAAGTGGCGGTGGTGAAATTGGGAAGATCTAGCATTTGAAGTGGTAGTAAGTGCGGTTTTCTTGATTTTCTTTTGGAACGCGGAACAGCGCTCGAACTGCAGTGGAAGTCTGGAGAGCAAGGAATGAAGGCTGGGCAGTCGCTGAATTTGTCTTAGGAAGCAGATTTATAGTTAATAGCAGAAGGATGTCTTAAATGTTTTCGGATCGTTTGTTTTTACTATTTTCGGATCGGTTGTTTTTACTGTTTTCGGATCGTTTGTTTTTTGCTGTTTTGTCGCGCCTTGTCAGCTTTGGCGCATGACTAGGTGGCGCGAAATCGACAAGCGCCATTACAATATTCATCTCAGGTTCGAATTAATCGTATCTCCATGGGCTTACGATTGCGTCGTGAAATACATTAAATGGACATCTTTAAGCGTTTGGAGCAGCCATACGAATAAAGGAGGCAAGAGAGGCGTGAGCCGTCACCCCTTGATTTCCGTCAATGCTGCAAACGATGCACGATGACACTGCACGAAGAACTGGCTTACAGATGAAGTTTGTTTCCCATGATCCATCTACATCCCTGGTAGTCAGCACATCAAATCCCGTTCCAGCCAAGCATCCCGGCAGCCGGAGGTCGGATCGGCCACGGAATCCCATGAATGAATGGAATCTGCACTTCGCAATAATGCACACACAAATATTTCGTAGAAACTCTGACGCTTACCGAAGAACAAGCACCTGCATGCATCTAGTTCCGCCCGCAATGTATTCCCGCTCTAAATGAAACAGCCTTCTCTATGGTTCGCCGCTAAAAGTTCGGCAGGCCAGCGCGCCGCAGAAACGCCAGGCACCGCAGCGGTCGTTTGACCATCTGTGTTCTGTTCTGACCGCCGAAACGCTCGGCGCCCGTGTCCTGTTCTTCCCTCCGTTCTTGTCCACCGCTGGCTTACCTCATATCCAATGGCAAGCGTCTCGTGCGGAAAGCGCACGCGACGCCGCACTCCGCACGGGACATAGCAGCCGGGTTCGCCGCCGTGTCCGCGGCAACTGTTTTGCTCACGTTCTCCCAGCCGACCATCAGGCCGGTTTCCTCCCCAGTCACGCACACCGCATATCTCTTGTCGCTCGCGTAAATGCTCCTCGCTGACCGCGGGCCAGGCTCGGGACACATAACCCGCCAGCCCTCAATCGCCGACCACCGCGGCAGCCGCACGCAACCAACGCGAAGCGTGCCTCATAAATGAACTGTTTTCATTTATGACGGGTGGCAGTTTACGACTTCCAGATGTTTTTTTTTTCATTAAAGCAAGTTTCGTGAAGCATTCACGCGCCACA